CAGGAAACCGTCCTCAGCTAAACCTGAACTGACTCCTTTTAAATTTACATCCGAAAACTGATGATTACACTCGGTATTAGTAAATATATTCAGGAAAAAAGACCGAGACTTACTTTAACTATTCTTCAGTTCCAGCGGCGCCAGCTGTAATTGCCGCTGAATTTGTTGCCAATCACCAGCTTAAATCAACGCCAGTTGGTTTGCCGGCACAAAAATGCTTCTTAACGCCAAATTTGATAGCCTTACTAAGAAAACGACGACCGTAATTTTTGCTTAAGACTGTCCGTTTCACCATTGGGTCGAATGAATATTTCCGAGAGAGAACGTTGTCTCTCGAAAGGTGCCAGGGTAGACACTGTCTGATTTTCGACCACGTCCTTTTCTTCACTGTCCGAAGGTGTAAAATGAACGCGGCTTTTTCTGTTCTGTAGAGTAACGTTTGGAGCACTTTTATTTAAAGCATGATTCGACTCTGACAGCTTCTCATTGAAGCCCTGTTCTGGCATGGCTTGATCAACGGGAAGGATGCCATTTTCCGTCTGATCGTTTTCGAAGGGAGGGTTCCAAAGCTCTGCTGGGGAACTTGGCGGAGAACTCAAAAGACTGCCAGACAAATTTAAGTCGCCCGAAGAAAGGCTGTGGAATGCATCCACGTTTAACGACAACAAACCATCCGTTAGAGTCTTCTTTGTGAATTTGAGCTTGATAGGTTTGGTGCGACCACTCTGAATCGCTTTACGGTAGCTTCCCCTCGTATCAAACATTCCCGAGCCGGGCATGTGCGGTGGTATGATGACAGATCGAGAATTTTCAATGCTTGAGTCGCGCTGAAGATAAGTGCTTCGCATCGTGCGTCCATACGCGCTCTTACTGTAGTCTGATATCGGCACTTTTTTGCAGCAAAGGCTAAGTAAAATTTTCCGGAACGCTCGTCGGAAGTCCTTATTGCGTAGACCATAAATTATGGGGTTACAAACGGAATTCCCATATTGTAACCATTTATTGATCTTTAGAATCATTGGTGGTAATACCATGAGGCCTTTGCATCCAGCTGTTTTGAACATTAGGTTGCCACAAACTGAATACGCAAAATTGATGGCGAAAAATAGTGTCCAGCAGATGACAAAAAGGCCAATGACTACAGCTACAGTTGTAGCGATACGTAGATCCTGAAAATAAAGCAAATAAAATTAATTGGCTATCAAGATTGGAGGACACTTAACATACGGTTCCTGATGACACTTCACTTTAGTGAAACATCAGGTCCACAGGTTAAAAGAATTTTTTCCGGCAAGTAAGAAATCGCTGCATGGAACTTCATTTTGTCGAGGAAAGGAAACAGTTTGTCGTTTTTTTCTTCTTTTCCAAAATTTTAACAGTGATGATCCTACAAAACTTTCGTTTCCGTTTCCTGTGTGCATCTCAGTCCCCTCCCTTCCAAAAAATCAGGAGAAAGTGCTTCCCTCACCTCTTTGAGCCGGAGAGGCGGTAAGGAGTTGGTAATTAATTTCAAATTTGACCTAATTATTTAATATTAACAGCCAATGAATGTCATTATTCGATCTCGGGCAAAAAACGAAATTGCAAATTTGAAAGATTTACCTCCCCCTCTACTTTACATCTATTTTTTATTGTCTATCAAGAATTACAAAGAGAAAAACTACCTTTCCAAGATGAACTCAGTTTAAAGAGGCCAGAGACTGTTGTGGAGGGGAACTATGGAAAAATGAGCCTCTGACCGGTTTGTATTTGTTCACGGGTTGTGATGCGAAACATTCGGAGCGAATCAAGACCAATCAAGGATAACAGTGAAAGATTCAACGCGTAGAGGTGCTTCTAAACCTAATATTATTTCTTTATGAGGACTTATAAAGCTTTTCACATTTCATAACCATTTTCTTCTCCGCATAAAATGTTGACACATTGAATCAACGATAAACATCATTAATTTCTGGGTTAAACACTAAAAACTACAAAATAAAATAAGCTGGCTAATTATTTTGGCAAATAAAATTAGTTTTTCTGCAAAGGTGAAAAAGATTACTCAGAGCTAACTTGGCTTTTGAAGTTATAAAAAAAGAGAAGTAAAGAAATCTGTNACGAGTTGAGGCCTTTACTTTGTTTTGCTAATTATTTCTAGGAATGGCTGAAGTAAAGAAAGATATGGTCTTTCTGACACAAGCGTGGGTCAAAGAATATATTGACATTTACAAAAATAAACTGATTATTTCAGAGTACTGTTTACAGTGCGGGAGATTTTGCCTTCTTCATCTGCTACATCATGACCGAGTATTCAAATTTCCCGCCACTATAGTGATTCGTAATTCCCAAGTGTATTTTAAGACGCTTTCGCTGCCGTTTTGAAAATGGTATTTTCAGTCCGAAATAAGATACCTATTGTTATTGAATAACAATGAAAATAAATTGGTCATTGTCATTTGCTCTAACGAAGGGCTAACGATCGACGGAAACATCTTAAACGATCGAAACGTCGCGAAGCTCTAGAAACTATCTAGGGTGGCCGATTTACGTTATAGACTTAGGTGATAAAACCAAATTATCTCCTAGCAGCACCAATGTTTCTTTAGAAATTTAGCCCCCCTTTATTCTATTGTTACTTATGTTGATTTGTTTTGTTTTGATTACGAAGAGTTTTGTCCTGAAATTGCGATCCATTCATTTTGCCCAAAACTACATATTAAATGTAAAAGTTATAGAAAAGATAATTGAAGAGAAAGAAAGATCAGAAAGGAAACACAGAACAAGGCTTAACTTTTAACGAAACACAATACTTCTACTTTCCTTAACTTAAGTGGGTTCGGTAAAAAGCAACAAGAGTATACAAGGATATGGATGACGTCATAGAAAAAGGATGATGATGAGCTTGAAGAAAGGAACTTTTATATTGAAATCTTTATCTACCAAAGAAAATTTCTTTAATTTCACCTCGACTTTGTGAATGTATGACTTTCTGGAATAACCATTTGACCATAAATCGCCGCTTACCTTCTACTATACTTCATCGACTGCTTTAAACCTCTTAACACCTTGATCAGTAATTGAGTCAGAATAAAAAAAATATAGCTCTGTCATCAAGAGATTATAATCTCTTGCTGCCATAGAGTAGGTTTTTCATAAGTGCCTGCTGATGGCGTAATGGGCGGCTGTGCGTGGGGAAGGAGCTCTACGGTGAAACCCAAAGACGAGCCGAGCCTGCTCGCAAGCAAAACAGACGGGCGGCGGTACGCCGCCGGAAATCGTGGGTTATTATTGAAACCCCCGACAGTGGGATGTTAAAAAGGGTTAAAAGTGGACTTTTGATGTTTGATAGAAACCCTTACGTAGTTAACGATATAATTCCAATTCTACAGTGTAGTGAGGATATAACTCTTTGTAAAGGTTGTAAGACTGCTTGCAGCTAACTTTTGACTAAATTCACCTCAAACATAATCAGCAAATTAGCAGCTCTTTCCTTTTCAAGTGTCTTGCATGGGGCACAGGATATCACACTAAGATGAAACCAAAAAAAAAAAAGAAAAACGCGCCTACCGGAAAAGTGAACGGAAAACTTTTACCTCTGACTTAACTTTCCTTAACTTTATATGTATCGGGACGAAAAGCGGACGAATTTCCTTTATTCATGACAAATTTAATTGTTTTTTACATTTATGCACATACAGCTGAGTGATGTGCAGGAAAATTTCAATTCCTTCGCAAAAGTCTTAGTTTGTAAGTCTCTTTTAGTGATCTATTTTCACCTTAAAGTACATGCTTTTGTATCATATTGTACCTTGATTCAAGTATGTAATTTCAGTAAGCGCACGAAGAGTTTATACTGTGGTTGGCGGAGTAGGTTATTTCATATCAATTAAAACCTTTTTCTTTTAATACCTTGTTCAGCTTAGCTTTTTGACGGAATTTTATCAATTAATATTTCTACAAGCAATATCAAAATAATTGTAAGTTGGTTACTATCATTCTCAGTGCTAACGGAATATGGTCACATCGAATAGCAATGCAATAAGTTATCAAAATTATAAAAGAACGATGGAAAAGCGATTTTTCTTCAAGAAGAAGCCAGCAACTATGATTAGAACTATTTGTCGTCTTTTAATGTTTTGTTTGTTCGCTATTTTAAATTTCGTGGTTACTGTATATCGCTAACCTTACGTCTAAGGTTTTGCAATCAAGTAACTAGAGAATACAACATGGCTCACACTACATATAGTCACCTTTCTCTGCAACTTTTCGCTAGCGATGAACCATGAGACCAAATCTTTATATTTTCTGAGTATTTTGAGCGCTGCCTTTTAAGTCAAAGGTTTCTAGTCTTGGCCTTGTACTGCAAACCTGACAAACAATCACCATTTTGAAATTGCCCAAAAGAAACGGGGCCTTTAATTGTCTGATTCTCACTGAGCTAGACTTGGATATTATCACACTCTATCAAAGTGATTAAGTCAGACAAATTTACGCTTGCATGTATAATTTTGAATGGAAAAGACAAAGAGAAAAAAGCATTATAAAGCTTTGGTGGAAAAATTGTTTGGACACAAAAAGATAGGTAGCAAAGTTCATATAAGATAATAATCAGAAAAAGAGAATTACGATCCGCTACGATCATCAGAGCTTTTGCTTTGTAATAATGACGGTATTATCAGCTTATACCTATATAGCTAAATTAAGTCAGTAGGCTTGCTGAAATCAAATAAGAACTATGACAGCTTTAATATTATCTTGAAGAAAAAAAATACGCTGTATTCTGATTCTGCGGTCACAGCCGTAATTATTGGTTGTGGATTAGAAAGGTATACTTTTAATATGAATAAAGTCCAATATCGTTACTTTCTTGTTACGAGTAACTTATGGATTGATCATTGTTAATTGTTTGAGACATTGGTTTTCTTCAGTTCATAGAGGAAACATGTTTAAGCTCGTACCGAAATGAAATCGGAATGACCTGTGTAATCGTTCAACTTTGTTCTTTGAGTCTCCAAGCATTCACTGGAAGTTAAAAATAAAGTCAAGCTAAAAATTGCACTGAATAAAATGCGTCATAGAAGGACATTTAAGTCATCTTCTTTTGTTGCTTCATGGAATGAATATTACTGAGTTTAACTTGAAAAGCTCTGCATGACATTGATTGAAAAATAAAACACAAGTGTTGTCTGTAACGTACCTTTTGGGTGAGTAGTACGGTTTTGCCCCTGGACAGAAATTTCTTTGTTGAATTTATACACAGACTGTATTATATAAAGTGATATACCAAACCGGAAGGTTATCAATAGCTAGCGCTCAGATCTTCATCTCAAACTCCAGCACGGGAGCAGAAAAAACAATAGCGACATCACTCACGCCTGCAGATATTGACAGCTCAATATAAGTAATAAACTAACCCACTCAATCTATGTAATAAGAGAGATAATTTTCATATTTCTATGTGTGTTTATATTTGCGAATTGCAAAATCTTTTTCATTTCCTAAGCAGCTGCCGCGTAGTGTTTAAATCTCGTTAGTCGTTCAGTTTGCCGAGGCAATTAGAAACATAAATATGGCATTTGGTTTGTCTCCGCTGGTTCTTGTCTAATTCGGAATTTTCCAAATTTTGCATCCGTCCGTCAAGCCTTATCCTAACTAAACCCGGCCCCATAAAACGTACACAGAAAAATGCTTCGATGACAGAATGGGGGAAAAGTCTTTTTAGTGGTGCGTTCTAATAAGTTTTTTCTTTTAAAACGCATAATTTAATTTTTTTTGACACACAGTACAAATAATGGAAGTGATATATTGCTTTCGTATTTTGAACAGTCAACAACTTTTAAATTATATTCTGGGAATATCCTAAAGCGTTACATTAAGCATAGACAGGATCATACGTCGGAGAGGTCAAAATAGCCGTAAAACCTTTAACCTTTACCTTTGAGTTCTTAACTTTTACGCGTTTGATGAAGAAAAAAGAATAGAAAATCAAATGCTTACGTTTTACTCTCACAGTGTCATCTCAGTCTAGATCTAAAAGGTGGCTTTCAAGGTCAAGTTTCGCGTTACGACTACTTATTTCTGAGTATCCCCGTGAGTAGTCCAGTGGTCAGAGCGCTGGACTCTGGGTCGGACGGCCCGGGTTCAAGTCCTGACTGGGGCAGTACGTTGTGGCGTTAAGCAAGT